ACCGTTTTCTTTCTCTCTCTTTCTTTTCCCCGTTCTCTCTCTTTCTCTCTCGATTTGGCTCTGAGGAGGTTTCCTGCGCTCGCTCTCTATTTCTGTCTCTTTCTGTCGCTTGTGGCTCGTTCTCTCTCTCTCTTTCTCTCTCTCGTTCTTGCTCGCGCGCACGCGCTTCCCTTCCCCTCCCCCTCCTCCCTCCGCGTATTTCAGCAAAGCTTGTTTTCTTAATCGAGCATTTTCGTTCGTCACCCAGTCGCCACTTTTCGAACGAGAGGATGTTCCGCCTCCCCCTTGGGAGCGGCTTTTCCAACCCTATCGTAGCGTGCACATTTTCCAGGATCGATGCACTAGGGCTGCGTATTCGTGTTTATTATTTTTCTCTCCATTTGCTTCATTTTCTCTTTGTTCGCTCACTGAAAATAGGAATCGATATCCAATCTCAAATTAATGACTTCCTATGGAGGCTTCGCTATCTGCCGAACCCATCAAAGAAGAAAACACCAAAATCAGAGTCATAAAAGTCATGTTATGGACGCTCTTCATTTATAGTGACATTTTGCGGTAAGTCCACGCACAAACATAGTTCTATCTCTCTTGGCATCTTCGATGAGTAACCAGGACAAGACGATACTTACGTCGTACGTAAGTGTGTCACTAAACGGAAAGCACCGTGTCGTTAACTCTCGGCGCCCTAACGTGCGAATATTAAAAATCCCACGTGTTTTCTTTTATCCATCCAAAACATGAAACATGATGCATCTAATAGAGGATTTTTAAACACGAGACACTAAACTTCCTCGTCAGAAAATTTTCTTTTCGCCCGAAGAAAAATTCTCGAGCAAGATCTTCTAATCGGTGAATATCGATCGGAGGAATATTTGTTTGTCTAACTTCGAAGCGCGGCGATGATAGCGGAAGGGTTGAAGGCTTTCGAGGTCTTCTTCTGCCTGGCGTTCGAACGAACGCTCTCGCTTCCTCTCGTCGCAAACGTCGTCGATTCGTCCGATCTCCGGAACACCGGCGCGCGATTATCGAGCGTTTCATATCTCGCGACTATCGCGATGGCACGGTCGCCATGCCGTTTTCGCAGCCGACATCGGGCGTGTGTGTTATAAAAAAGCCCGTCAAACGTTATCAAAAATTCAATACGTTGCGCCTAGTGCAAATGACTCATTTCTGAGAAGAAGAAAAAAAGCCGAATCGTGTATCCACTTACTTGTGGAATCCTCCTTTTAATATTACAGGGGCAGTACAGTTTGTTTTTTTTTTTCACGTTTTACGAGTCGAGTCGTTACTGAAGTCGCTTCGTTAAGATCCATTAACGTTCGAGTGAATTTCAAGATACTTTTTCCGAGAGCATCTGTTATTTTTTGCAATAATTGAAATATTATTACAGGCAATTGGAAAACAACTTTATCAGATGTTCACGGATGTTTTAATAAAAGAAGCTTAGCATTTTTTTTTTTTCTTTCACTTTTGCAGTTGGTCGCTATTTAGCTCTGCGGACTGTTGTATTGTTAATACTAAAGAGAATAAATTGATGACGAAACATGACTGAAATTGGGTTATCGCGCTTTTAAATGAAACAGATAGATCTACTGTAAAACAGATTTCTGCTATGGCGGAGGTATCAAAGCATCATGGCGTGTGCATCGAAATGTGTCAACGATAAAGAATAAATAGCAGCTGCTTTCCATAATTACGTAGAAAGCTGTGCGCTTATTGTTTACGCATTGACGCTCAACGATTTCATATAATCGATGCGTGGTAAGCGTAGCCTCGCGGAGTTGTTGTGATGAAACTAAACGCTTTTTCGCATTTACAAAATCACGTACGAAATCACGTACGGAAATTCAATTAAGCCGACAAGTTACTTCTACTACGACGCAAACAAAAGTTTTAACACACAACTCAAATTCCTCTCTCGTCGAAATATGCTAGACGGAAAGCCAATTTTCATCGCGATCATCTTAATCTCCCCTGAGAATGCCAACTTTTTATTCGCAAAGTTTGTCCTGAGGTGCGATATTCGCGTTCGTATTGACCGTTTGTATTGACTTCTCGATTGTACTGGCCATTCATCGTACACGTGTATACAGTAGCTTTGGTGTTTATTGTATCGGAAACACGTTATTGCAAAAAGTTTCTATTGTGGCAACACATAGCCGTCCCATTGAGTGGCTCGGAAACGTTTTCATGACCGCCCATTTCCTTGTAGTCGGCAGCATCGGTCACTCTTGCCGATCGAAACGGTTTTTTATTACTCTTGTCTGGCTCTCCACATCCATCCTCCCGTCCTCTTCCCTCTCCCTCTCGAAAGAGTGTGCTGACCTCCCATCGATTGGCCCGTAGAAAAATTCCATCTTGCCGTAACGACGTTTTATCGACATATATCTACCAATCGTACCGTGCGAATTTTAACATTTCAACTTCAATATTTTAAAGAAACGTATGTCGGAAACAAAGCTTGTTCACTTATTATTAACAGTTTGATTTGATTTATATATAATTTGCAGCT